TGGCAGGTTAAATAATTCTTGGGATCTCTCAAATACCTTTTGCCCGTGTACTGGTATCATCTTGTTCATCTTGCTAAGATAATTCAATAAAAGTTGATATTTATTAATTTATGATACACACATGCAGAGCCTTTATCTATGATATCAAAGCATTTAACCAGTTGGAAGGAGTACTATGAATGGAGGTCCATCCCACTGCATTCACCTGTTTCTTTGCTACTCCACCGGGTATGATATATATGTCAGTTGAGAGTTGGAATTTGCGTGTAAAATATCAAATTCAAACAATTTGTATTACGTTTTGGCAATTAGTCTATACAAGAGAGTTGGGAGTATGCATGTTAAGGAAAGATACCTAATTGGCTTGAATATATGGGAGCCTAATTAAGTTTTTCTCCTTTCCAAATCCATGAATTCATTTTAATACTGTATATCTGCTGCTCCTTTTTGGATATGTTGATATGTTTCACAAATATTAAAACCTGTTTCTTTGTTCTTTTCTTTTTTTCCAGCCTCTTACAATTTACTATGCCACTCAAGTAGCTGGTTTAGGAAGGTGGACTTCTGGAATCAGCCACAAATTGCACATACACTATCTTGGTATGTGTTTCAACTTTCTAACTGTGCTATTTTGCAGTATATAGTATGGAGCGTCTACTGAACTGTTTTTATTTATGGATGTAACTTTGGGAATTTCCTTTCTTGATTTATGAACCTTTTAACCGTCGTCATGTAAGTTATCTGGTTTGCATATCTATGGTTTACTGTCAGTGTCATTTTGAAAATTTAGTTTTGTTACATGAACTGAATTTTGACAGGCCCTGAGAAAGAGCTTCTTCAGCTTTCTGTCTTCTCAGAGTTGCATGCACTTTTTCCTAATGTGCACGTGCATATAGAGCTTGTTGGGCCAGCAATTCCACAACATAGGTCAGTTCTACACTTTGAAATGATGTTCTGCATGGGATTCATCTACATCTGGTGTTTTGAATTCGAATTTACCTCATGAAGATAAAACAAGGGTTGCTTGCTTGTGTTTGGTGTCTCTTGTGGAGAGCGCTTAAAGATTACTTCTCATTTGTAATTAATTCTCCTTTTCCTCTTTGAGATGGATAGAGATGGTGAGATGATCGAGCTATGCAATTATGCCCATTGCCTTGATAGAGATTGCATATGTAAATCCTCAAGTGAGACTGTCAGCTGGGATGCACATACTAGTAAACCTTCAACAGTTACATTGCAACTTAGAAGCGGCTTTTATCATGACCGTTACAAGGATATAGCTCAGGTTGTGTACTTTCTGTCTCTTTCAATGGACATAAACATTCATGCCAAGGATCGTATATTTTTTTTTTCTCATTTAAGTCGTATATTCATTCTTTTGCCTTCTCGGTTTTCCTTTTTGCTGTTTCTGATGACTTCTCAGATGTGGGCAGGATTCATCTCCGCACTTAATCGTTGCTCCAAATGCAGGAATTGCTGCTTATTCAAGCTGGCTACCAACTATTGTCCGTTTTTAATATCTAAACATCTCTCTTTTCAGTTCCTCTTTTATTTAAATTTGTTTCTCTTAATTTTGCTGGTTGCCTGGATGTGTGTTTCAGGAGCTAATAAAGGATATGAATATCCCAGCAGTTTTTTCCGATTACTGCAAAGAAGCTTGTCATCTTGGAGCTAGTTGCTTGACTGGTGTAACCGGCTGTCCTCTCAATATCCCTGTGCGTTAAACCTTACTTGACTGTTGTTTTATAGCATGCATTGAACCATAAGCGCTTAATCTGATTATATCCAAATTCATGCCTCTGTCTTGTAGATTCAATTAAATCCATTCAGGCAACCAATGGTGGTGGAAGACAGCGTTCTCTTGCTTCCTTGCTACTCGAATTGCTTCCTCTACGGGATGTCAAAGTGGTCTGTCTAAAATTATACCTTGTCTCGAAGACTCTCTGTCGGCTTCTTCAAATAAGTCGCTGCGTCTCTCAGATCGAAAGGAGGACAAGTTGTCAAGGTAGACAAGATTTGGTACGTGATAACATTCTCTCCAAATGTTGAAGTTCCAGTTGCAGTTTATATGACATCAAAGTGCCAGAGCAGTTCAAGAGATTTGACCAAATCGACACAATCTCTAACGCTGTTGTGAGATGTAATCAAATGTGATGAAATGCACGTAAATATTATGTAATCTGGCGTTTTAGAACATTTTCAATTATGCTGGGGGTGTTTTTGAATTTCTATTCTTTTTCAAATAACCTTTTTTTTTTTTTTTTTTTTTTT